ATGAAAAATAAAGCTGATACATGTTAACCAATTCTACAATCCAGGAAAGCTCTTTTAATGCCTCACAGAAACAACAAACCAAAGTGCTCCCCCTTGATTGACACGAAGAAGCTATTACGGCGTCAAACAGTGTAAGAAATAGTCCCTCAGCAGGCTATTAACAAAGCCGTGGGAAGTCTTTTAAATGCATGGTTACAAAACAGTTAATTCAGATTTATTTTCGTTCAGACGATCTGTTCAGCTGTTGTGTATTCTGAAAAAGTAGTTATTGTGTTGTCTGCAAAAGAAAATGAAAGTTTATTTCATTCTTTGTAATACTATGGAATGTTAATATCCAAATTCATGATACTGTATTCGGATTATTTTTTTTCGTAATATGAAAATAATAAAATACAGATGTAAAGAACCTGATATCTTTTTTAGGGAGATAATTCGAAATTAATGGCATCGAAACATGAATCCGTAATTCTTGAATTTTTCACAGCAAACATGTAAAATAAAAAGAATTCTGAAACAAATTGCGTTAGAAAGAAACTAAACCGTTATAGACGAAGCAAACCGCTATAGAGTTAATCGTGTTAGAAAGTGTTTTTCTTAATTATATAAATAACATGAATTTTTAGATTCTCAAGCATTAATAATTAAGAATCGTAGATTTTCTTACAGCAATCACTACCATGAATAGAAATACGCATGCAAGATCTAGAACATGCGTGTAATTTGTCATCAAATAATGCTTTAACAGCGTTTAAATAATATTATATATTACATATATATATATGTATGTATGTGTGTATTCTATGAAATTGAATAACGAACGAATTTAAAGTTCAATTCTAATCTTAGTAAATTCTATAATTTACAGCTAAATGTGTGGAACCTTGAGAACTGGTAAGCGAATAAACGCTTTAGTTCAATATACAGACAACAGAACTCAGGAAGGGTTAAATACCCTTTATTTTTCAAAATAAGAATTTAACAGTTGACTCCTTCTCGGAGTTTATAGCAAAGCCTCCACTTGGGCTTGAGCTCAGGAAAACTAAGAAATAAAGCTTAACTAGACTAAAACGATATAGCGAAAGCTATCAAAATTCTAGAAGAGTTGGCTCCTTAATGCTAACTAAACGGCGAAACTATCCTAGACCTAAAGTACGGCCAAGCGTAAAAATAGTACAGCCAAAACACGAATGCGCACTGGTCAGAATCTCTGGCTCTCTAACGAAGTCAGTAGAACTTCAACTTTAAATACTTGCTCTTTCTTCATTTGCATTTAACCGCGATTCTGAAAACACGTTCTGGAAGGAAATTGTAAACTGAAAATAGGAGAGATAGGACAGTGGTTTTAACTAAACATAGCTGTTAGCAACTTAAGATAAACTTTACAAAGTCATCATAACATGTTAAAACAAATTTATAAACATGTATTCGTATCTCTAAAGTTTTGACGTATCTCTAAAGTTTTGAGATGATTTGTTGTTTTTGGGGGAAGGAAAAATCCACTGGAGACTCTGCTCAATGTGATAGGCTTATGACTTCTCAAAGTGATAACGACATACGAAAAGGGAAGGTGTGACCTGCGTATAGTTTTTCAAAGCCTATTTGGTGAAGTAAGCGTTGCACTATTACTGACTATACGGCTAGCGTCAGGAGTTGACTGGGTGGTAATTTAAGCTGGCATGTAGCTTCGCTGGCTATGTACAAGACGGCTGAGTCGTCTCCACCAAGCTCGTTCAGTGTTAATTGTTCTTTGCAATTTGCTCAACCGCTGGTTTCGCCACCCCCCGCCAACCGTGTATCCTTGGTATACGTTTGACCCTGTCGATCTTCAAAATATTACTTCTCTGACGATTTCGGAAATTGATTGGTTGATGCGTCGAGCCCCTACTACCTGTTTGCGATCGAAGTATTTAATCAATCGTTCTAGCATTGGACATTGTACACACCATTACCCCTATATTCATTACCACACGCTCTTTACATAAGCGCGCAAAAAAATTTATTAGCCATGTCTAGCCACATTATGGCTCAAGACTAATATCATGTTGTGGTATCGTCATGGCTAGTGATGGGCAACTTCGGTACTTTCTTGTACCCGGTAGGAGAGTAACGGGTACAGACAAGTACCCCGGTACAAAATACCCGTTACTCAAGTAACCGTTACTTTGAAAAGTACCGAAAACCGATTTCAAGTACCGAGTACCCAAGTAACGATTTGGAGTACCGAAGTAACGAAATACCGGAGTAACGGTTTGCTGTACCGGAGTACCCTAGTAACGATTTGGAGTACCGAGTACCCTAGTAACGATTTGGAGTACCGAAGTGCCCTAGTAACGATTTGGAGTACCGAAATACGCAGCTAACGATTTTGCGCACTGAAGGAACTCTGCCACGTCACCACGTGTTTGATTTTATCTGTACGGAGTAAGATTTTGAATATCAGAAAACATGTCAACTACGGAAGTGTCTGAGGAGCAGGAGAGCGCGGCGGGTTTTGTTTCTGGTGTTGGGTTTGTGTAGATTGTCTTTGATGGCCAGTGGGGGTTGGGAGGATTGGCGCGGGAAGTGGATGGATGGAAACATTTTCGCTTTCGGTTGTGTCTTGTGTGCAGGTGCAGCAAAATCGATGGGTGCTCTATCAATTTCGTGAAAGAGGTCGTCCATAAATGATGTCACGCTTGGAGGGGGGTTAGTGAAATTGTGACAGTTTGTGACAAGGCGGGGGACGGAAGGGTGAATCATATTTTGATTAAAATAAAAATGTTTAAAATCAGCAGATTGAATTTTGAAGTTATTTTAAAATTACCAAAATTTGAAGGTATTTCCTTAATTGGGGCGAAAGCAACTTTTATGTGATTTTTTTTTTTTTTTTACTTACATTCCTTTCTTTCAAAAAAAAAAAAAAAAAAAAAAAGGCATTCAGAGTAAGTTTTGAGAATAGGGTAGCGGCAGAAATTGTAATTTTATTGCTATTGTGTATTAATTTTATGTTTTTGCTGTAAACTTTTCTCTTATTTCATACAAAATAAGTGCACGAATCATTATTATTGTTATATTTACAGATGTCATTAAAACATATAGTTTAAATTTAAAAATAAAGTCTGAAATATGATCTATAACGTAGTGCTACGTTTTTGAACTGCAAGTATAAGTTTACGTAATATTGCGTGACATGTGACAAAAGGGGGGAGGGGGTATGTTGAAGTGTGACACTTTGTGACAAAGAGGGGGGGGGGGGTCCAAAATGTTGCAGAAAAGTGTGACATCATTTATGGACAGCCCCAAATGAGCATAGTTGCGTACTTGAAAAACGTCGGAAGATTTTCTTTGTATGATATTGAAGGAAGGGAGAGTACACTATGTTTTTTTCGCTGCTGTTGTTGTGTTTTGTTGTTGGAAAAACAAAGGAAAAAAAAAAAATCGGAAAATAGAAATTTTGATGCAACTTTATACTATGAGTAAAAATGTCGCAATAAATTTAAAATAGAAAATTAACTATAACTAGCTGTGTAGCAACCCGATAGGATGCAGTTTCCTAAGTAAATATCAGAAATTTAATGATCAATCTGTTTTAACATGATATTTTTTATTTATACGGATAAATAACATACCACAGAAGTCGTTTAATACCTTACAATTCGGTAGTAAAGGGCATAGGGGTGCGTAGGGTCTAGACATTAAAATAATCACAAACCTTTATCCCACTTATAGATAAGATAATGACCTTCAGTACCACTGCGAAATAAAACTTATTCAAGCTACCAAATTTTAAAAAAAAGATAAATCTCTTATTCTCTACTCTCCCCTATATATATTAAAAATTCTGAATAAAAAAGTAAGATAATTTAAACATTAAATATAACATAAATGACCTTGTGTGTTTAATTGTACAATACTGGCATAAAATAAAATTTACACATTTATTCATATACACATGGTTGAAGAGCTTTTCCACAAAAAAGTTTATACTGTTCCTTTTTAAATTACATTTAGGTTTATTTTGAGTTAAATTTGTACTTTTGGAGATTTGGCACCGTACAATAAACAACAAAATGATTAGAAATATTTTTAAAAACAAAAAATATGATTTTAAAAAATGCATAAACATATATATTTGATTTAAACATTTTGAATTACCAAAAGCACTAGAAAATGAGGTATGTTTTGAAAAGTGAGATAATGTAATATATTTGGATGTACTACAGTAATAAGTAAATTTCAGCAAAATGGTTAAAAATATTTTTAAAAACGCACAATATGATTTTAAAAGGCACATTCAATATAACAATTTTGAATTGAAGATTATCAAAAAACACTAGAAAATAAGATAGCAAAGGGTTTAAAACTGTGAGAGCGCAATACCTGGATGCAGTAACTGCTGTAAACACAAAAATGCAACAGAATGGTAAAAAATATTTTTAAAACTCAAATTACAGCCAAAGCGCATTCGACATAAGAATTTTGAGTGAAAGATTATTAAAAACACTAGGAAATAAGGCAGCATGTCTTTAAAACTACGAGAACGTAATATCTGGATGCTGTAACAGCAAAAAGCAACAAAAATATTTGTAAAATCGCATTATATGAATTCAATAAGTACATTCGATATAAAAATTTAAATTAAAGATGATTTAAACACTAGAAAATAAGATAGCATGCTTTCAACTATATGAGAACTTAACATATGTGAGTACAGCTAAGTAAATAATAGAACTGTAGAACTTTATATTATATTAATAATCTAAATACAATTTCAAAATAATATTTTTTTTAAGAAATTGACATTTGAATGAAGTAATATTTCATTTAATTAAAACAAATAAAACTTTGATAGGCTGTGCAAAACGTTATAAAAGTATCAAATTTTTTAACTTTATGGAAATTTTAGGCATTTAATTCCTTCTATTTTTTTTATAAAGACCACTTAAAATATGTAACGAAAAATTAAGCATAAAAAATTGACTCCCAGAAACAGTTTTGAAAATAATGCAGCGAAAATAAACATTTTAAGCTGAACTTAGGTTGGAATTTTAAGAAGGTCAACAAATGATTAAATATTATAATTGTAATGTAAGAAAATTAGTTGTTTCAACTTTTGTCCACTCAAACGGTTTCGCCGATCATTCAGTATTAATCCAGCTTTAGAGAACACCCTTTCGCATGGCACTGAAGTAGCCACAAGGCCTAATTTTTTCCGTGATAATTCATACAAATTAGGAAATACATTTTTATTCTTTTCCCACCACTCCAGTGGATCAGATTTCCTGGAAAGAATGGGCTCTTGCAGGTATCTTTTCACTTCTGCCGCAGCTTTGTCGATCGCCGCGTCTGCTGCGGGAGCTGATGAAGTTCGAGAGTCTTTACTCTCAAACTCGAACCAAACCGATGATTCGTCTATCTCTTCATCATCCTCTTCCACATCCTCAACAAGATTATGGGTAGTTTGTGCAACTACCGATAACTCACAGATAATATCACTTTCAATTTTTTTGGCGACATCACATTTGAGCCCCAATTTTTTTATTCGGGGGTCAAGGAAAGCGGCTTGAGCAATGTCTTCTCTTGAATCGATAGTTGTAAATCTATTACCCAATTCACGTTGTAGTACTAGTACCACATTTTGTACTTGTTCATTAACACTTTTACTAAGCAGATTTTCACAGATTTTTTGAAGTCCGCCGATTAACACAGGCGCCATAGATGCTGACAAGTATTTTTCCGAACTCAACTCGCAAGTCACCTTTTCAAAAGGTTTCAAAACGTCACAAAGATGTTGGACACTTTCCCATTCTGGCACATCAAGAGCCTCTGGGGGGTCGTTCATCAAACCCATTGTAGAACGAATAGCGTCTTTCAGTTCAAGGAAACGTTTTACCATATAAAACGTGCTGTTCCAACGAGTCTTCACATCTAAGATGACTTTTAAGTCTTTTCTCTCCTCGCTAGAGCACAGATATTTTCGCAAATTTTTTGCAGCGATATATTACTTCTCCTGTAAACTATCACAATATCCCTAATTTTCGTTAGAAGGTCGTTAACCTCGTTTAGAGAATTTGTGACAGCCAAATTGAGAGAGTGTGCAATGCATCCTAAATGTTTTAACTTTAGTTCGCTGTCGACAGCGTTAATCATATTTTTGGCATTGTCAGTCACTATTAAAGACACTTTTTCCATCGGAAAATATGGTTGGCAAATGTGTATGATATTTTCTGCAATATTTTTGGCTGAATGACGTTCATCAAAAATTGAGCAGTCAATCAGTACCGTTTTCCTTTGCATGTGTTCGTCAATAAAATGGCCTGTCACGGCCATGTAACTTTCAGCCTTTTGGTTGCTCCAACAGTCTACAGTCAAACAGATATTTTGTACAGCACTAAGAACGTTTTTTAAACTATTCTTTTTTTCTTCATAAGCAGCAGGATTTAGAAATTTTCCGTGAAGGTATAGGTTGGATTCAAATTATCAATTTTCCGATACTTATTGGTTGTAAATCCATACCATTTTGATCAGTGCGAGATCAATTACTTTTTTTTTATGTACATCCATCGTATTTCTCTGGACAAACTGCATTATGCTGGACTGGGATTTTTGTGAAAATACACCAACAATATCACAAGCACTGTTGTCTACCGTAAGTTGTGTAGTCTGCTGGGATGTGCATGGTTGCCCACCATCTGCAGGGCTAATGACGACAGAACGGGCTGGAGCGGCATCAATATCATCAACATCTTGATTCGGCAAAGCGCGTTTCTCGTGCAGATTTATTTCAGATCCACGCAGTTTTTCTCCTACAAACGATGTAAAATTAAAACATGCACAATTCGGATTGCAAATCATCTAGCGCTCCCCTCCCTTTCCCTCCTGAGTATACCGACTCCAATCACAAGCGAGCAGTGCCGGCGACAGTGACTCCAACTGCTACTATTCCCCCCCACACACACAATGAACAGCCTTTCGAAAAATTTCCACTATTTCGCACTCGTCCTCCCGCGCACACAAAGGCAATTAATTATACTACTACTCAAACTCTAGTTTGAGGAGTCTAACTATAGTCCTCAAACCGTGACGAACGGAACGGAAGATTCCCCCCTTTCACGTTTGCCATTCCATGCCCTATTTCATCAATGGTCATTCATGGACACAAGGAAGCGCATATCCACCATTTCACAAATACAACCTAGATACTATTGTCCTCGTACCAAAACCGAAGTGAGCTGAACCGTCATCGATCCTCCAGTAATGAATACCGAGACCGAGAGACATGCATATTTTCGTTACAAAGTAGCGAATACCGAAAAGCGCCCGTTTCGGTACAGAAGTAACGAATACCGAAAAGTACCCGTTTCGGTACAGGAGTAACGAATACCGAAAAGTACCGATTTCGTTACTGAAGTAACGGGTACTTGGATGTACCGATTTTCAGTACCCGTTACAACTAAGTACCCGTTACAAAATACCCGGTTCGGTAGTACCGACTCATCACTAGTCATGGCTGAGAAGACAGTAGTGGCTGAGGGTGAAGGCATATAAACGAAGCTAACAAAACTGAATTTTTAGAATCACCATCTTTATTTTTACACATTTCAAATCATCTTTTTGGCAGACCAATTACTTTTCAATAATCGTTGAATACAATAATCTTTATGTACACATGATAAAAAGCAAGACGTCATCTTCTTAGACAGGAAAGCACAAGCGTCGCAGAGTTGTTTGCATACCAGAAATCAGGAAAAAGGAAGCCATGATTACTCGCGAAGCAGTATTTATACTACGTAGGCGTATATGTAAAGATAAGTCGTGATTGGTTAATTTTAGGTTTTAGTTCCTTTTTTCAAGCAGTGTTATGTAATTTAGAAAGATCTCGAATTTAGGAGAAAGGATAAACTTAGGTGAAGACAATCAAATTTAGAGTAAGCAAATTATTATTTCTTAACATAGCTATTGTATTTTATTATATCTTTCGTATATATATATATATGCGTATATATATATATATATGTATATATATCTAATACCGATAACCTTTATTGGGCCTTAGGCACCTTTATCGAGCAGAATTCTTTGTTTGCACAATCAAAACTCTCTACCGTAGCTGCCTATCACACTATCAAACAGAACACTAAAATTAAACAGAAAACTTAACTATTTATCATATATCTAGATTGGAGACAAATGTTGCCATTTTTTTATCACCGCCTGACCACCAACGAGTGGCATCCTGAGAATGGCACATGCAGTGTTCCTACAATCTTTTAAACATTATTTTCGACCCATGTATTTTCCCCATGTATAATATGAGTACTGGCCAATTTCTCTCAGGCAGACCTCCATGAAAGCATCCCTCTCCTTATGCAGATAGTTCGAATGTGCTTGTAATAATCGATAAAATTTAATCCAATTCATTCATTTTCTGAATAAATGTTTCCGAATTTCATACGTGGCTGTTGCGATCGATATAAAAATGTAAATTCATTTGCATTTACTCAAAATTCCGCTTAATGAAAAAAACATCGTGCTTGAGTAATGTTTTAATATGAAATTTTATTAAATATTGTAGCATTAATTTTTATAATCATCGGGTATCTATTTTCTTCCAAACTTGCAGGCAATAAATAAGGGCGTTTCTGTTATTCAGCAGTTCCTGTTTGTCTGTATACGCAGGTTTTTATTTTTTTTATCTCCTGGGTAGTTGCGAAACGAAGGATGGCAAAAAAATCAGATACCTAACTTGCTTGTTAATAACTCGAAAAGTAGGAAGCCAAAGCTTAACACAGAAAAATCCTCCGGAAGCGACAAAATGCGAAATATGGAGCACCTATGAGACTAATTACTCTGGCATTTAACACAAATTCGCTGTGAGACGGTTTCTCAGTCTCTCCAAGTTAACTGATTGCCTATTGTCTGGATGGAGATGCGGTAGTAATGAACAGCGATATAATAATATTTTCTAATATCAATATTTTGATTTAAAAACTGTCTAGACAGTTTTTTTAAAAGTTACTAATTACATTACGAGGTCATATATATGTGTGTGGGAATACTGAAATAGTAGAATAATCGTTTGCCAATAAACGGAAATACTGTTTACATTTCAAGGAACACCTTTTTAAATTGGCAGCCACGAGAGTTGAAATTCTAGAGACGTAATGTTCAATAGTATTTGAATTTTTCTGTTTTGGGGCAAAATTAAATATTTATATTAATTTAAGTGCATATATATAGTAAGAAGGTGTTTATTAATTGTATTAGTTCAAGCAGAAATCAAACCTACATAAGACGTTGTCAAAACATGGGAAAAAGAAAATAAAACACATGACAAAGAAAATGTCTATAACCATCGCTGAAATAGTGCGTAGTTAGGATTTCCAAAGATAACTATGTGAAACAGGTATTAAGCAGTAAATATAATTTTTAATTTTTGTACGAAGTAAACTAAGTAGTGTAATACCGAAAAATTTCGAGTATCATATTTCAACGAAAATATTGATTTTGACGGCCGGAAGCTATCTGAACGATTTTTTTGCGTGACATCTGTATGTAAGGACAGAATAAAGGTCTTTTTCTTCCAAAAGGGATTTAAAATTATATATTCAAAATGGATTTAGAGCAGATTTTTCTCGTGACGTCAATACAAACGTATGTATGTATCTCGCAAAACTAAAAAACGAGTAGTCTCAGAATTTGGAAATTTTGTATATGTGACTTCTACAACATGTAGTTGTGCAACTCTCCTTTTGGTTGCAATCGGCCTCACTAAAACTACATAAATATACATATATGTGTAATAAAATCAAACTTATATAGTGTTGATCTATAATAAATAGGAAATTGGAGGCGAAGGCATATTAAATATTCATTTTTTATTTTAGCAACCGTATTGCGGCCATAAACAAGTTGGCACCTTAAGTGTGCCTATTCCAAAAAGCTTATATTTTGGATAATTTTGCAGTAAGAAAGGAGAAACAGAAAGACTGCAGTCCATCTAGGCCGAAAGCTTAGAAAGCAAGTGCATTATGTTCAGAGTGAAATCTTAATTCAGACTGAGTTAGTTTTGGTTCTCAAAGCGTTTTGATTGGATAGTTAATATTGCTGTGAAATTACTATTGGCTGCTTGAGTTTTAGTTCCATTTACATCACCAGAATTATGTAAGAGTCATATGACAGGGATAAATCTAGAAATGACGCAAGTGCAGAGAGAGGTTACTATTTTTAGAATTTAGAAGGGAAATTTACGTGCTGTTAATTTAATCTTTTATATTGTGTTTATTTTTCGCTAATTTAATCTTTTACATATTCTTTATTTTATCTCTCTCTCTCTCTCTCTCTCACACACACACACACACACACATATATATATATGTGTGTGATTTTTTTTCTTTAAAAGTGATTGAATTATGTTGTTCTTATGTTTCGATTAAGGATTTTATGCCTTTAATTAACCTGCATTTATCAAAAATTTAAAAGTTGATTAAGAGCGACTTTTTATAAGAATGCGCCCAGTCAAGTATAGTTAAAACAAATATGAAAAAAATCTTAGGATTTCACTTTGAATTTTAATAGCGTTTATTGGATTTAATAATTATAAAAATATTTAATTAAATAAATGTTAAGCTAATAAAAAGAATAAATATTTTAGTAAGAATTTAGAGAGTCGAACGAAATTGAAAACAAAAAGGAAAAACAATTGATCAATTTATGCTTCAACTCATATTAGGGTTAGATAACACCTTAAAGCGTAGATTGTAACAGAAGTTTAGTCACATGGTGCTATGAAGGATGCGACGTACTCTGTCATGCGACTATTAGTTCAAAAAGTGATAAGATAACGTTTAACTCGCACAGCAATAAGCGTTAAAAATTATGTATAACCTTTATAGCAAATATTGACAATCTTTAATGCAAACTACAAATTAACGCAAATATTTAGCAAGTATTTTTCTTGTTTTCAATCCTGCTATCGACT